GAATTCATTTGTAGACAAGAAGAATTACGAGACCACCTGGGATGACTTCAAGACTGTGGCAAAATTCTTTTGTCTGAATCCTGGGGAATGGGAAATGGTGGTATTTGACTGGGCAAAAGCATATAGGCAGCTGCCAGTCCACCATAGCCAAAGGAGGTTCTTGATGATTATGGACTTCCGAGGTAGATTGTGGATTGATTTAGCTGTTGGCTTCGGAGGCGTGGCTAGCTGCGGTGTGTTTGGCGCTCTGGCAGAGACGTGGAAGCAAATAATGATTGTAGAGCTAGGATTCCCTGCCATCTTCAGATGGGTGGATGATAATCTCCTCTTCCGGCGTCCGGGGAAGAAAGAATTGTTAGAAGATGTAACTCGCTTAAGTAATTCGATGGGCGTAGACACAAACCCGGTGAAGAATCATGAGTTCAATATTGAACAGAAATTCTTAGGCTTCATTTGGAATGGAAGACATCACACAGTCAGACTCCCAGTGGAAAAGTTGGAGGAAAGATTAGGCCAAGTGATAGAATTTCTAAATGAGGAAGTTTCTTGGACTTACTCACAAGTAGAAAAATTTGTTGGAAGAATGTGTCATACAGTGCATATAGTTCATCACATGGCGGCTTACCTAGATTCCATGTATCGTTGGCAGAAATCTTGGCAGAACCAACAAGCTAAGCGAAAGGCTCCGGTGGATGTGCCAGAAGATCTTAGGGAGTGGAAGGAATGCCTGAGTCATTTCGAGGTGTGCCGTATAGTCCCGAACCCGGTACCTGAGGAGGTAGGGTGGGTAGGGGATGCAGCATTGTTGTTTGGGTGGTGTTAGCAATTTCTTTGGTATTGAGATCTTTTCATTGGATATGGACATATTCTTTGGTATTATAGCATAGGTGTGTTGATCGGCAAATTCTGGGCTTGCTTTAAATTTGCGAAGACTTGGGACGTGAAAGGTCGGAAAGAACACAAGCGCAGTATAGCCTGGGCAGAGACCATTGCTATTAGACTAGGGTTGCTAGTGTTAGCAAAGGTAACGAGAGTGGATGGTCGTCGTTTCTGGGTTCATACCGACAATACAACGACAGAACACGCAATCCGGAAGCGTAAGTCGAAAGACAAGGATGGCAATGACGATTGGAAGTTCATACAGCAACTACTCACGGAGCTAGGCTGTCACGTGAAACAGAAACAGATGGCGTCAAAAGATAATAAGGCCGATAGTTTGTCGCGTGGGACCCTGGAGAAAAATCTTTTCTGGTGGAGAGAATTTTTGATTGAAATTCCCTCCAATCTTCGTCCCCTTCTCTCTCAATTTACTCCCACTCAATTATAACTACAGATGGGAAAGAAAAAATCAAAGATATCAGTGGAAGGTCAGAAGGCAAACAAGATAGAGGAAGATCTAATGAAGTTAACCAAACCTTTTGGATCGTGTAAAAAGGATGCCTTTGGGATAGATCGATCCGATGTAGATGTCATTCAACAACAATTCCTTTGTGGTCCTTGGAAAGATGGAACTCTCAAACATTATAACTCGGGAGTAGTAAAACTCATGTGGTTTGCTGAAGTCAAGAAGGTGGATAGAGCTCTGTTGTTGCCAATCTTGTCGGAAGTCCTTCTTGGTTTCGTGGTCTGGGCGTCAAAGAAGAACAAAAATTTAGTAGATGATGATGAATTGGTTAAATCAACGACTTTAAAATCTTACGTCGCGGGGTTGAAAGCCTGGCACAAATTTCATTGCAAAACTTATCCTTCTGATCAAGATGAAACTGTTGCACTCTCAATTAGAGCTTCGGAAGCTCTAGAGCAAGAATTGAAAATGCACAATAAACTGAAACCCCTGGTGTTAGTATGGGACTTAGTGATTTTGAGAGAACATGTAGATTTGAAGTATGAAAAAGATGCTGCGATATATGCAATAGCTTTGGTCGCTTTTTGGGGTACCGCTAGATTAGGTGAATTGGTCTCTGATGATCCAATGAGACAAGTACCGATTTGGGGTGATGTTTTATGGGGACCAAAAGATTCTTATGCTAAGATTGTGATTCATGGGGTGAAGACTGCCAAACCAGGTGAAATCGAGTACATATATCTTCCTTGTCAAAAGTCTTGACTTGATCCTGTGAGGGCCCTAAGAGTTCCTTTCAACTTTTGGCCTAGTAAATTGGCAGATGCTGTGTTTGGTTTTGCAAGCGAGGTAGATGGATGGGGTGTTAAATTTAAAAAGAGTTTTGTCATTAAGGGGTTGAGAAGACTTTGGAATGGGTGTAGATCAGAGAAAGATCAAATCTTGTTCGGCCATTCATTTCGTATTGGTGGAGCTTCTCTTTGTTGGAACTTAGGCGCAACTCAAGAGGAAGTTAAAATTCATGGAAGATGGGCTTCCGATGCGTATAAAATCTACTTAAGGAAGTTTAGCAATAAAGAAATGAAAGAGACAGCAGAGTGGTTGAGGGTTAATCAGTTAGATGATTTTACCGATAACTAGAATCGGCTTTGTTTAGATAGTTCCAATGACCTACTTGTTCTTCTTGGTCGTCTTTGTTTGAGTCTATTAGAGCTGTGTTGGGTGGCCATAAGGTGGATATGCCGAAGTGGCTTGATGAAATTGAAGATCTTCTTTGAATGGTACATCGCGAGCCACGTTTCACTTGAGATTGAGTCTGGTGGATACACACGGGAGCGGTACGTATAGTGTTCGATGAATAAGGTTTCATGACAGATTTACCAGAGGAGATCACGGTTTGGACACCCGTGTCACCAGAACTCAACTTCCCTTCTCTGACGGGGTGAGAGATAGTTCAACTGTGAGACATCACGTGCGAGAGGTTGGGGGTTTGTTTGAGTTTGACTTCTCAAGGCTCACGGCTCATGGGCTACGTGAGTTCAGGGGGTTGAGAAGTCTATTCTTCTCTAGCCTGCTCTTGCCCCGCAAGAAGGGCTCTAGGATGGGTGTTCTTTACCCATACTAGATTTCCCCTCTCACGGAGCTACCCCCACACCACGCTCGTAGGTTTACTGGTCTCAGGGAAACAGACAGTAGGCTGAAAGCGGTAGACCAGGTTAGGGGAGGTACACTCCTCAGTCAGAGTTAAGACATAACCCAACAAGCTAGAAACTTTAATAATTCCCATCTATCTATTTCACCAACTAGAACTTACTCTCCATGATGATGAATGGAATGACGCACCAAATCATGTTCAAGATAGTCCTCGAAATTGATCCTTGCGTAGCCACCAGGCTGGATCCGGCAGGCAATGACACCATCCAAGGAAATCACAGGTAATACAGACCACCAATTGGCTGCTGTTGGCCTCTGGAAGCGAGTGGTCCTTTGACCAATAGGCGCGCGCGCATACTCTTGACACAACTGCCGCTTGGTGATAGCGGTTTCATCTGAGGCAAATAAATGTAAGATAAGAAACACATCATTAAGACATGAAATTAAAAAACAAAAAGAAACAAATAAACATACCAGTGAACACTAGACATCTAGGGTCAAAGTCTTGAATTGACTCTATGTAGGCCCCTTGTGCCTCCATTGATTGATTCGGATGTAAAGTCCGGGCCTTCTTCCTGGTCCAGGCTAATCGATGACGTAACTCTTTGGAGAGAGTCGTAGTGGAGACTCAGATTCCAAAAGTGTCTATGATTTTAGATTGGAGTTCGTCTAGGTAGAGGGTTGGGTCAACATCAAGGGATTGGATCAAAAATTGGTGTTCACCATGGCCCAGGCTGGTATGAGCCCCTCAATCCATATGATTGACCGGATTTGTGATGACAGCTTGTGTGGTCCGGTACAGATTGTACCAACGGCGGACTGACGTGAGGGAGAGCTGTATTCCAAGAGCTGCTGTGATTTCAGAAAATCACATGCCTCAAAGGACCATGCGGACCACCACCAGCTTCACTTCAGCGCTGTGAGTAGGCATCTACCTGGCGAAAAGGTATCAACGTGGGTGAACAGTTGACCAAACTAGAAATGGTCTTTGGAAAACTTACCAGACAGCGAAAGAGGGAAATCAATGTAATAATCCAACAGGAAATCAATTCAATATTCAGGCTGAGGAGGAGGAGGAAAAACAATACTGGGATCAGGGCGGAAGGGGAAAAGGGGAGAGGGTAATGAAATGGATATGTATCCCGGCCAATTTTCTGCTCACGCTTCCATTGAACTCGCACGTCATACTGCATTTCCATGGAAGTGTCACGTCAGTAGGTGTCAAAGGGGGTATAGAGAGTCTGGTGACAGCTCTCAGCACGCCAATATTCTAGCTGCATGTTTCATATATGAAACTGTGGATACACCAATTTGCAAATACAAATGTATTTGCAAATTGGTGTATCCGTCTATCAAAGTACTCTCGCATACAGACCCGCCCTCCAAGCTCGGGTTGATACCGGGGCCGCAGAAGGAACTCTCCAAACATCCGTGTATACACGGATGCCGGGGAGTATTGCTTGCCTGAAAATGGCGGTTAGCACATGAACTTGATTGTGTGACGGTAAGAGGCGTGAAATGGAAACAAACACAGTCTGCCTTGGAAAAAGCGTTCTGAGACAAGGAAAACGAGTACTGATGAGACAAACAGAGAAGCAAGGATTAAGAGTGAATCAGGGATGTAAAAATTGGATTTTTAGATGAGTAGTACAGGGAGTGGAAATAACATCTCATTTATGATCGCGATTTCAAGTATGAATGTTGGAGAATGGGAAGGTTTACCATTGGTTCTGTTTCTTTTGTTTACCTTTTGCATATAAGCACGCAACATCCTGTAGGAAGCAGTTATGCTCTGCTCAGCCTTGTGCAGTTCAGCAGTGGTGTGCATTGCACTTAATCGGGCCTTCTTGGATGCCGTGTCAAATGACATGATGCCGTGAGCAAATCTAAACAGATTGGTGATCGACGGATCTTTGTCAAAAGACACCAGTTTGGGATATAGGTTGTCATGTGTTGTGTCGGGCACTGAACAGCCAAAGGACCAGCGCTAGCTAAAGGTTGTGATTCAGAATGGTTGCACGTGGGAGCTGATGGCGCAAGTGGTGTGGAAGGCAAGCCGTGCCAGGATGGGTAAGAAGATTGATAAATGACATATGATCACAGCGACCAACACTTTCAATTCCATAAGAGTAAATTGATACCCAATGCATGCTCTAGGTCTACCTAAGAATGTCAACAAACGTGACCAAATGCCAGGTAAAGAACCCACTGGATCCGTTTCAATCCATCTATCTGGACGAAACACTTCAGCATCTGGTCCAAAGACCTCTTTGGATGAATTGAAAGTATCTTCTCCAGCTGCAATATGAATCGGCTCTCCATCCCCGCTTACTGGAATTGTATCAGCCATTGACGCTTCCCTAGCGGTCTGAGCAACAGGTGGCAAAAACCGAAGTGTCTCGCGCGAAAAGAAGAAAAATTAATTTGAGCCAAACAAAGACATTGGGAAAAGACAACAAAAATCTTACGCAGACAGCGTCCAAGTATGTTAAGGACGTGAGTTGTTCTATTGGAATTTGTTCTTCACCTTAACTTGGTGTGGCACTTGCCTCTTGAAGTTCTTTCCTTAACTTATCCTGGAAATCGGGATGTTTTGCTAGGATCCATAGCATCCAAGTGAGCAAAGTAGCAGTGGCTTGACAAAGAAGGAACCACACTCAAAAGATCAGCAGGACAAACAGCATATAAAACACAGACAGATGACTGACTCTCATGCCCAGCAAACAGAAAATGGTTTAGCCTTGAGCTTTAGGTAGTCGCCGACAGGCCGCGAGCGGTTTGTTACACATGGTTTGTGAGGTTGCATTCTAGCGGTGACAAACAAGTGAAATGAACAAAGCAGTACAAAGTTTGGACAATGAGCGTGAGGACGGCACTGGAAACAACACAAATTCAATGTCCCATTTCTGGGCCAGAGTTACCAAAAGACAATCTTGGCCCCCATCTCTTCTTTCACGGCTATTCAAGCACTGGCATGTCCTGTTTGTCGATGAAAATGGATTTATGCTGTCAAAAGTGCTTCAACTTTGCAGTAAACGAGCGAGGGAGGTCCTAATTCATGCGCGCTTCCAATGTACAATGTCATGGCTCATTCCAAGCAAGTTCATTGCGTCAAATTGCGGAGCCATCCACCTGTCTTTGATCCTCATTTCTTATCCTCCACCTCACAACACATATTGCCGAGCGGTCACGGTGATCTTGCTTGGAGCGGTGTTGTTTCTTTGGCACCATTCAGGAGCAAGTAAAGTGATATCATCGCAGTTGCTCTATCAGTTACATGGAGATGTCTAGCACAATTCTATCTCAAACACCACTCCATCCTTTCAACACTGTTTCCTCAGCATCCCATGGATGAAGGGCGTTCATGAGTCTGATTGGTGAGCCACACTGTGTGATGCCCAGCTTTCAAGCATTGGCCCTGCTCCGCAGGACTTTGGATTCATCAAAACAATAACTCAGGGCATCCTTCGGAAAGTCATGTGAATTCGGAAGATTTGCCAAAAGTCAACAAACCTCACATTTGTCTTCCACTTGAAAACTTGTCTGAAATTCTTTCATCCAATTTCTGCGCAAAAGTCAATTTTGAATTTTGATCTCTGACAGGTGCATACAGAGATTTGTGTTAGTTGTTTTGAAACATGCGGGTAGAATAGTTTCAGGCAAGTCTGGTGACAGCTCTCACACGTGAACAAATGTAAAAAATATGTTTTACTCAAGATTTAACTGTTTCGGACATTATCCCTCAGTGACTCTTTTGGCTGCAAACTACACTACGGTCCAAACCCGATGTAATTGAGATGTAACAAGACCAGATGTTCCAGAAACATAGATTTTGTGATTTTGAAAACGTCCATATTAAACATGATACCACCAATAAAATGCATATGTCGGCAAGTTAGAGACAAGACAAAGAGAAAGAGTTGAAGAAAAGAAAAAATACCAGTGAAGGGATGGCCACTGAAATCAGTGGAGGCTGAGCAAACTATAAGCCGAGTGACTCCAAAGATTGAGCCTTGATACAATTTTTTTACATCGTGTCCATCAAACCAAATGTACCGGTTTCAGTTTTGCATCTAATGTTCACAATATGAACATCAGACGTATGGTGTTCATAGACATGACATTTTCATTACATTGGAACCAATTGTATCCTTGAATCATATTGATAAGCATCAGATAATGATCCAATGAATTTATATTCCAAGTACGTTGGATTTTTATCTATTCTACATCATGAAGATGTGTTTGGTACATACATGCTAAGTTTATGTTTTGATTACATACCACCCCCTTCAGTAACAAAAGTTGCATAAAGTTACATATGCGACTTTTGTATCACGGTGAGAAATTTTCTCACCGTGTGTGTATGTATAGATATCCCTTATGTGAAGACGTTTGGTAAACTCGTCAAAGGTTGCATTATACGATTGTTGACAAGTTTACCGCAACTTCGCCATTCGGTAAAACCAAACTGCGAGTTTTTTAAGCTGCTGTGATTCATTAACCATGAGTGAATCAAGTATAAATAACTCAATTCTTCTCATTTCCCCATTGATCCAATCAATTTAAAATTGATTTTTTTGGTAAACCAGTTAATTCATTGATATTGGTAATGAATAAGTCTTTTTAAAATCATTTCTTGTAAACCATTCAATCCATTTATATTGATTATAAACAAATCATTTTAAAATCAAACCTGATGATATGCTTAATAATCAAGCTTTCAGTGTTTTTGATTTTAAGGGTTACGATTCAGAAAAATAAGATTGATGTCAAAGGATTGTGATTTGATTTTAATATGAAATAGTAATTTTTTGACTTGAAAGAATCCGATTTAAATGAATAAGAATCAGATTTGTATGATTTAGTTTTGGCTTTGAATGATTATTCTTTGATTTTTATAATAAGATTTGTTTGAAGATGATGAGTTTTGAATTTGTGTTGAAAAATGAATCGAGTTGATCAAAGGGAGTAAAAAGTCGGGATCGGTGTGAAGAGTAACCAAAGGGGAAATGCTGATTAGGAGGAGGATCGTGGAGGGACAGGACAAGATGGAAGAGTAGAGGAAAAGAGACAAGTAAAAAAAACTCACCGTGATGAGGTGAGAACCAAGAGCAATACACTACAAGAAACATAACATTTTCTGGGCAGAAAATTAAATTATTTGTATACAAAAATCTGGAAAGGTCAGAAACAGAGCAAAAAATGTGAAAAAATATGCATCCTGTTCCTTGGTATGAGATCTCCAATCTGCATATTTTTCCGTATTTTTGGGGTTCATATTGGTGAGTGTACTAACAATAAACCCTCATAATCACCAGATTACCACCTGTAACAGATGCTGGAATTTGGCTGATCAGTGCTGAGAGAAAGTTTTGATTACTATAAAACCCCATAACTTTGTCAATTCTGGCTCAAAACACTCGATTTTGGGTGCATGAGAAAGCTGAATTCCTGAGCTACTACTTTAGTTTTGACTCAAAATGTGTAATCCCGATGGCTGACATTCTATTTGATGATATGTGAAATTTGATTTCAGTGGGGATATCTTTCTTTGCAGGCCCGCCACGTATTTGGTTCATTTATGAACTATCTTCAGGCAAATACCAGCTTTCCAATGCACTCAAAATCGAGTGTTTTGAGCCAGAATTGACGAAGTTATGGGGTTTTGTAGTAATCAAAATTTTCTCTCAGCATTGATCAGCCAAATTCCAGCATCTGTTACAGGTGGTAATCTGGTGATTATGAGGGTTTATTGTTAGTACACTCACCAATATGAACCCCAAAAATACGTAAAAATATGCAGATTGGAGATCTCAAACCAAGGAACAGAATGCATATTTTTTCATATTTTTTGCTCTGTTTCTGACCTTTCCAGATTTTTGTATACAAATAATTTAATTTTCTGCCCAGAAAATGTTATGTTTCTTGTAGTGATAGAGGGTCACACACTCCAGAAGTTGCATGTATCCAAAAGATAAACGACTTTTTTCTTGTTTTCAAAAATATGCATGATTTTTGCATATATATGCAAAAATGTGTGTGCGCCTTTTGTCGCACTCGAGTTTACCGAATGATGATTTCGGGTCACATGTGCGACCGAATATCACTGCGCATTTTTGGTGGTGCGCATTCGGTCGCACACATCACAAATGTGTTACCGAAGGGGGTGTACGATATTTGTAGCTGGGAGATATCTGAGATGAAATGGAGATGCTTGTGACTATGGACGTTTTGAGTACATAAGAGCCCTTTGAGTTTGGACCGTAGTGTACCATCAATTCCTTGATCAGCTGTAATAGGAGCGCTGAGCGCTGGCATTGCGCTTATATGAGGCGCAACGGGTACGCCTTGTCCCCGAGGACAAAGTCTTGGGCGTATGACTCTCGTCCCAAGTAAAAACCCTTTCCAGATGCGTATATCCCAAACTTGACTAAGTCCCACGTGCCGGGGTTTATACATAGCAAGCGATGACTGAGGCACGAGGGACTTACTCCTTACCCCGGTCATTTGGCGTGGTTCGTTGAGCAATTTAGTAGGGGAAATCTGGGATCTCCTTTATCCCAAACTTCCCAGTATTGACTGTTTGGAAAAAAACAGGGAGCCTGAAGCGCCTGCTTCTTCTCTATCTTTCTGTCTATCAACTTTCTTGCTTTCTTTATTTGTTCTTTTTTTTTCTCAACACTGCAAACAAGGTCATCCAGATATTTGGGGGAGAGACTGCGGAGTCTATGTATATATATGTAATATCAAATTACATACAACATGCTTCCAAAGGTCAAACTTGAATTTCAAATTTTGATTCTGCTTTGTTTTCAACCCTGCTCAGCAACTTGTCGCCATAATCTTCACATCAGTTAACACTCTTTTGCTCGATGAATACCCGAAGCAAATTAAAAGAATTGACCTTGGAACCAAACCTAGCAGATATTGACAATGACTTGAAAATCACCCGACCTTTGCTTCCGTCCATTATCCTCAATAGCTCATTGGCAGAACAACGAAAGCATGTAATCAAAATCTTCTTGAAGTGGTATAAGAATCAGAAACCAAAGGAATTGCAAGTCACTACAATAGTCAGCCTCATCAATGGATTCAATACCTTCCTCTTGGCTGGAACCGGATATGGAAAATCACGAATACCCGAAATTTTTCTCAGGCTTTTCAATCTTCAACAACTACTAGTGGTACTTGTTCTCAACCCTCTCGACGCGCTAGGTGACAATCAAGTCAGTAGTATTTGATTGATGATCCATTCAAGAATCATTCTGAAGCTGTTTAATTCCATCTGTAGGTTTCTGACAAGCTGAAGCAAGGGATCTTGGCAATCAATCTGACCAAGATCACTTTTACGGCTGAGAATCTCAAAAAGATTCAAAATCACTACTACCGCTTCATATATCTTGTATGTCATTTCTTCAGATACTCCTGTTCCAATTCACCTTGATCAAATGTGAAAGGCCAGATGGACTGACTCTCAAATTGTTTGTCTGCTTACAGAGTCCAGAAATATTCCTCAATAGTGTGAAATTTGCAGAAGTCTACCACAGCTCGGACTTCCAGAAGCACCTTATATTGAAGTTTGTTGACGAAGCACATGTGATCTACTCGT